CATACACCCTTTTTAACTAGTCTTACTATAACGTATTGAAACAAAGTCTTTGAAACGCTTTGAATGAATCCTATTTGCACTCTTAAAGAATGAAGAATGACCCTTCCGCACTGAGAATTCTTTGATGGTTTCTTGAAAGACTTGATGGCCTTCCGATCAAAGCATCATGTGTTGATGGCCACAGTTTGTCTTCAAACCTAAAACACAAAAGTAATACAGGGGAAAATGAAATAAACCAAAGCGTTCTACAGTCACATCTGGCTTCAGCAGGTGTGTCGGTGGGAGTGTGGACGAGCCGGCCGTCCAAATTACCTTCTTAATTAAAGAAGGAGTGGAACGTATAAAGTGCACTTACTAAGAAGTTTTAAGAGGCAATGTAAAAGCCTTTTCATTAACGGTATATGATGACACATTAAAAAACACTCTTGCATTTGAACGTGAAGGACTTGCAGTTCTATTTCATCGTCGCTTTTTAATTTTACGGCTGGCTGCAGACAAAGTCTGGAACCAAGTCCAGTAATAAAACAGCACTTAAATGCGACTATATCCCCAGTGTGCTAAAGTACTCCGATTTAGGACAAAGCGATTCTGACAGCATACATAATTAGTAACGTGGTCCAGTATGTTTACCTTTGGTATATGTCCAAAATGCTTCTTTACTAATGTATATTTAAATACTCGTGGCTTTACTTCATCTGCAGAAAACTGCACCAGTTTTGAGCCAAGAAAACAACAGAACAATTAAAATGTGCTGTTTTTCATGAGGTTAATTGCGACGGCCAGTACAAGCAAACATGCTGGTCAAGTCAAACGGTAATTCATTTCAAACGAATGAATAGTCTCGCATCCATTTCGCACAAAGGGCTTTTTCGGGCGAGCATTCCTTGAAAGCCCCCTTTTCTCAAAATGTGCGGGTCGCGCCTTTGATACGTGCATCCGGTGCTGAGTAAAAGAGCCGCGGAGAGACTGGGTTCCTCTGTACGTCTGCAGAGCAGCTGCGAGTGGTATTAGGTGAGGTGGCCAACAGTGAAGGCCGCTCGTCACTATGTGCGAAAAATGCAACGTGTCGGATTTCGTTAAACATCAAATGTCCAGAGCAGGGGCAGACTAGGATATTCTAGGCTGTATACAAGGACCGTGGCAAAACCAGGGACCCCACTTTGGGAAAAACATCACGTATAACCCTCTTGGAAAATTTTACTGCCAGAAATTCGTCAAATTTTACCACTAGCAATTCGGCTAATTTTACCGCAAGCAATTCGGCTAATTTTCCCGCTAGTGCTAAAGTGCCAATTACCAGAAAATTGACATTGCATCATTTTTGATACTTTTTCGTTTTTCTTTTGGCTCAAAAAATAGCTGAAGTGGCCTGCTTGTCAGCCTAGCCATGTCAGCCTGCGGCCCCCAGAGAGGCTAACAATTCCCCGATTCTGAGACACAGGAGCACAGCTCAGAGGAGAAGACCAGTGTGTTACATTGTTACACCGTCTGACAGTCATGGGTTATTTTTAGTTTCATGCTGGAATGTTTTACCAACAGTTTTCAAAACAAACTCATTTACAAATAAGCAGATATTGGGAAGATGTGAATTTAAATGAACTTCGGAATTGTATGTATTTATCATTATTTATATATGCATATATGAAATATTCAATCCATAGGGTAGGTCACGTGTTGCTAAGAGTATTACATAGAAATGTGATTCAGGGGTGGGAAAGTCACCAGTCCAAGTCCGTGCCTTGGCAGAGTGATCTCACTGTTGGGCCCTTGAGCAAGTTCCTTAACCCCCACATCTGACTCTGCCTTGCAAAATAAATAAAACGCAATGTATATACGAAATGTTCCACCTGCAGGGTAGCTCACATGTTTCTACAAGGTAAAATAAAAAGAAGCATCAACGGCTGTGGTGAGCGGATGAGATATTAGCATCGTTCTTGGCCAGTGGGACCAATGTCAGCTTTAGAACCAAAGCCTGCGGAGGGAGGAGGGATGTTAGCTAACGAATGGCTCGTTAAGGTCATGCAGCTGCCTGCTACAAAGAATTAGCGGCAATAACATATTAGCAAAAATGTCCATTGTCAAGTCACTGTTAGCGCGTGAAAACTTTAAGCACATAAAGTCTGAGGGTCTGTCCATGATTGAGAAAACCAGGGCATCTAATTAGGACATCTAAGTATAATTCTTTGGGGCCTTTTTTTAACTTGAGGATTAACAAAAGGTTAAAGCGACTCCTCGGATCGCCTGCTGGCATTGTATGAACAGATGCAGCTACCCGTTGTCATTTCTCACCGTCACGGCTCAGGTGCCAGACAGAGTTCACAAATTCAGGGAACATCACCTTTGGTCAGCAAATAATGCGCGAGGACCTGGGCGCAGCGGCGACGGTTAGACGCCATAAAATCTGGGGCTGATTAAAAGCGGGTAACTAAGCAACGCTGTTGGTGACCAATCAGGAGGAGCACAGGAGAAAACACGAAGCTTATTGCAGGTAACTGGCACGGTACTCTGGGCTGTTGACATGGAAACGGAAGGGGAAATTCAAAGCCGCTCACAGCCTTCTCTGGAAGGCATGTAGGTTCAGAAAATGTCACATTGTATTAACTTTGAGAGTAGTACAGTGAAGAGTGACTCACCACTAGAACTGAGAACTTCAATTTTTCGCATATAAAAAATGAAGAAACAGCAGTGGACGGCACCATTATATACTGTCAGAAAATACTGGATTAGTCAGCATTATGAGGCGATAATGCGTCATCCTGCATGTGTGGGCGTGTGCTGAGGTGTGTAGCGATCCAGATTTCCTGTCCCTTATTTTTTACTTGGTTCTGGTTGAGTTTAGTCACTTTAAGGTGTCGCTGTTTTGTACGTTTTGTGCTTGGAGGCAAATAACAGCTGAAAATCATCTGCAATGTTGGCAACTTTCAGATATTTATATAAGTTAGGATTTCTGTACATAGTTGTGAAATATGCAAATTGGATTAAAGGAATATGCAAATGAGTGTTTAAATCTGAGGAATACAGACCTGAAATCTCACTGTGTTCTCGTAATCTGAATGTTTGTTTGCACACCTTGTTTAGATGGAAAAATTATCCATTGGCTATTCCTTCATTCCCATATTGTCTTTTCACTGTTCTTTTCCAGGATTTCATGTATGCCCCATATAGGTCAGAATCACACTGATATATATATATATATATATATATATATATATATATATATATCTTTGTTTTCTTTATGTAATGTTTTTGTTCATAATCCTTGTTTTCCTATGTCAGAGTTGATCCTGTGTAGCTAATCAGATTCTTAATTTTCATGGTCATATTAATCATTATACTCAAGATAATACGTATCTATAAGAATTCTTCTTGTTCCCATTTTTTTTCCATTATTTTGTAGGCTAATGGTTTTAGTCGTCTCGTATATGGTTATGAATATAGATCAGTCATCGATTCACCTTCATGTTACTCTTGCTGGTGACGGTCAGGCCATAGTTCCAGTCTGCGCCAGCAACACCTTTGGAACAGCTCAAACCACTAATAAACTAGTCAACAAATATTAAATCTTTTCATGTTGATGCATCAATACACACTATAATATTCTTCTGAAAAACAACAGTCAGTATATGCAGGTTACTGTAATTAATTTATGTTTAAAGAAATGATTTTGAGGTCTAACTCATTTTGATGTTATGTTCTTGTCTTCTTGAAATTGTTGTTGAAGAAAAACCACTGAAAACAACACTGTGCTAATGTGCTAATACCCTCCTGTGTGGCCTTGGTTCACCACAGTGTAAAACTCCATTTTGAATCCTTCTCTGGATCTGCAAGCGATCATGCAGCCTTTATTTTAGTGAAATGACCATTTGTCTTCACAATTCTGCGGTGGCCAAAAAGCACTCAATGACTTTCGGCACAGGGGAACATGAACTCATGGGCTGAACATTCCCTGGATGATCAGCAGACAGCTGCCTTTTGGAAATGTCAGCGAAAGCCTCCAACAGCCAGAAGAATTTATAAAATGACAATGTTGATGTCAGGCAGGGCTCCAGTTTGAATAGCGGGCCTCAGGATTACCTGAGTGAGCCGCCGGCGGTATAGTTTGTTGGTGGGGGGGTGGGGGCAGCAAGGTAGTTTGCTGATGGGGGTGGGGTGGGTGTTTGCCCTGATCACCAACATCATCTGCCCCGTACCATCACCAACACTAACATCAGCTGCCCAACACCATCACCAACACTGACTGCCCAGCACTATCAACAACAGCAACACTGACTGCACATCACCACCACTGACTGCCCAGCACTATCAACAACACCAACACTGCTGCCCATCATCAACACTGACTGCCCAGCACTATCAACAACACCAACACTAACTGCCCATCACCAACACTGGCTGCCCAACACCAACACTGGCTGCCCAACACCATCGCCAACACCAACACTGGCTGCCCAACACCAACACTGGCTGCCCAACACCATCACCAACATTGACTGCCTGCCTAGTTGTATCATTTACAGATGTATTGCTTTTCTGAAAAATGCATAAATGAGAAATAGAAGCTCAGGCAGACTATAGGTTATACTGATTTCTTTTATATAAAGGGTTACTCTATAATTGCAGTAAAGTGAATATAGCTCCAGGTGGCGCTGTTGATCATTCAGTTTACATGCATCCATCATCGAAGAACTTCCCTAGGTCTCTCTGAGGTGACATGGAGAAGTATTTGTTAAAATTCAATTTCTTTTCTTTTCATCATTGAGAATTCATATTCCTTTTCAGAAGCATACTTTGTAATTTAAATTGTTATATCTGTTTTCAGTTGATATGTCTTTTGTCGGACTATGCATCCTTTATCGTGATCATAATTTAGGCTATTGATTTAAGAATTTGATTGATGGATGTCTGTTGTTATAGTTCCTCTCAGTTGATTGAAGGTATAGTTAATAATATTGGACATTATCCAACTAATAGATATTTACTTTCTTTCCTCCTTTTTTCAGTCTGTTCGCAGTTCTCGAGAGGAGTCTACGCTATTTTTGGATTTTACGATAAGAAGTCCGTGAACACGATAACATCCTTCTGCAAAACTCTACACGTGTCTTTTATAACGCCGAGTTTTCCTCTGGATGGATCACATCAGTTTATCATCCAAATGAGGCCGGACATCAAAGGACCCCTCCTGAGCCTGATTGAATACTACAAGTGGGACAAGTTTGCCTATCTGTACGACAGCGACAGAGGTGAGCGCTCACTGTTTATCTGATTCATACCGCGCCTTTTAAATGGGTGCTGAGCAACACAACATGGAATTCATGAAATGTCCTGTGCTGTTGCTTTCTCAGTTCATCAGTGAAAGCATTGTTTAATATGACAATTCAAGTCTACAAGGATAGACTGTACAATAAATTCTAAAGGTGACAAAGTACTTGTCAGGCTCCTGTTTGACACGTTTGAAGCAAGTCCATGCTGTGTATGTGGGGGCAGCAAATAAATAATTATTTTACTTTTAAACATATATTCTAAAGGTGAATAGTTCTTTCAATGATTATATGTTTACCAAGGGTCATTTTTCATTATGCAAGTGAAAAATTATTAATTTGCTACAATCAGTCCACTTTGCTTAATTATTGATCGAATGCTAAATGCATACAAAAGAGAGATGCTTCATTTTCCTTACAGCTGGGCATACAGAGGAAGTATTTCCTGCTTCCTCGAAGCAAAAGAAACCAAAGAAAAATATGTTCATGAATTCAGATTAGTTGAGTTTCAGCCTAGTTACTGTGTATTGGGTAGTATAATAGTTAACCATAGTGGACTGATATTACAAATACCGAGAAGGATCATGCTGTAATAAAATAAAGTTCAAATTAACGATAATAGTACGATAAGGTAACAGCTAATTAAATAAAAGAAGTTTACATAATAATCATGGCAAATATTTTCAAGCATACAGGGATTACTAAAAATCCATCTTAATCATGTCAGCATCTGCAGTGGAGAAAGACACAATGTCAATGATTACTCCACAATCAGGTTATGATCAGCCTGCAATCAGCCTATGATCAGTTAATAATCAGCCCGTGATCAGTCCATGGTCACATCCATGATCAGTCCTGGTTGGTTTCAATTCCAGAAATGGAAGGATTTTGTCATGAAAGAATTTTTAAAAAGGGACCAATGCAGCCTATTTATTACAAAGCCGTTTATCTTGCCTGTAAGGCAGCCCAGACCTCGTGCAGAAAGGGACCATACAACCTGGCCCGACCTCTCTGTGCAGATGGCTTGCCATCCTCTTCCTCAGTGGCGGAACCACGGCGACTGTCCACTCCCACGTTCACGCGAAAGCACTTCAGCGTGATGTGAATCACTCAGCAGGAACGCCATGTTCCCGGATTGGGCTGTGAAATCTCACACCTGGAAGCCAGTGTGACCAGAAGGGCTTATGTAAGCTCCTTTAGGATGCCTTTATTTGGTATTCAGACATCATCTTTGTCATTTCATTTTATCAAATCTATTCCTTCCAGGTTTAAATTGTTATTTAAGACGTTTTTTCTTCCTTGGATGAAATGATGCACCGTCTGAAATTCTAATCTCCTCAGATATTGATTTTTTTTTTTTGTTTCAAGAGAGCAAAGTTAGAATAATCACCAATTCATTTATCTTCATACCGCGTGAAACCGGTATGATTGTGATACTGGGTTCAGAGCTGCGGGTACATCCACACTAATACGTTTAAGTTCAGTAATGTAAAAATCTTCTTCCGATTTAGCCTGCTGTCCACACTGCCGCAGATCTTTTTTCCCCGGAGCGTAGAAAATTTTCCCACTGTCCGACACCTAACCTTTCTATAAACGCATTAGTACGGACGCTCGTAAACATAACATTTTTGTTACGTCTACAACAGTGAGCTCCGATTGGTTCGTAGTTAGCTTGTGACCCTTTCCTGATTCGCTCTCTTCCGTTCAATGTCTCATTCCCTGATTGGTTATTCTTTACAGAAATGAAGAATGCTTTTCCTTTGTTTTCACGAAAGTAACCCACGTGTGAATATGTAGGATGTACTAGACCTTCGCCACCTGGCATATGTTGTTTTGCTTACTTGTGTGCAGCTAAATTGTGTCCATTGTATCTGTTTATAACTATTGTGGAGCTTAAAATGAAACTGTACCTGAGCCAAGCTTAAGTGGAGCTCTAGCTTAAGATAAAGACACCCAGCCATTGGACATTAGAGTGCGTGTAGCGACTCAATTTCTGAATCCCTGTGTTGTTGCTGTGATGGTTCCTTTTATGTACAGCTTTGTGTTTGCGATGTGCATTTACTTTAAACAAATAGTTAATAGATTAATCAACAGTCAAGCGTCTATAAAAACTGAAAGTTATTACTAATTAAGGTCAAGATAAATTATTCAAAATATAAAATATAAAGTTTGCCACTTCAAAAAAAATGTTTTATAAAAAGCTTCATTTGGTTCATTGTGCAAATGAAAAATGTGAGAAATATATGCATTAACAACCACTCATATACAATATATAATTATATTTGCGTAGTCGTACGTCATTTGCCTTTTTCACGGAGCAGTGTGAATGCAGTTCTTTTTTTCCGACGTTTTTCTTTTCGGAAACTCCCGTAAAAAGGTTGCCAGGTCAGATCCTGAAGGAGTTCCCATATGTATGCTGAGACTCATAGCCGCTTTGCCAGCACTCACTGGCCAAACTCCTCCAAAACCACGTCTGCTGGGTTTAGGTCAGGTGGCCAGGTCATGTGATGCGACACAATCGCTTTCCTTTTAGGTGGCTTGCGGTATCCAAACTTTAGTCTCGTAATGTAACACATAGGCGTTTGCTAAAGATTAGAGTTTTCCCCTCAGAAATGAATGGAGAGTCCCCACAAAGATATAATTACAAACCTCTCCTGTGAAAGCCCAGAGTGATTCTACTCTGTTGGACCCTTAATCTGCAGTTGCTTCATCCTGGGTATGACGTTAATCTATATCCAGTCCTATAAGGAGGCCCTCCAACTTACAGGGAAAAACTTGGGGATTTGGTGGTAGGATTAACACTCCAGCTGCTGGAAAAGAACTCACACTGGTCTACACACCCGCCACATGGCTGCACTCAGGTTCTCATCCCTGAGGCTGTTTGTCATGTGGTGGGTGTGACAACGCACTGTAATCAGTGCATGATCCTTACCTCCTTGTTTATATTGTGGGGGGACATTTGGTCCCCACAATGTAACATAAAGATAATGCAGGTGCACACACACATAAAAACCTTGGGATATTATGATGTCATTTTCATTGCTACTTCCAAGCACAGTTTTCAGGACCTTGATATGAATCTGTAAAATGTTTTTGCCAGGAACATAACACTGATTTGTTAATATCATTTTTTTCTTGGCTTTGTGAGTCCGATGAGCCATTTATTATTTTATTTTTTTAAAAACAAGCTACAGTGATATAGGAAGCCGCATAACTTTTGACCTTCTCACCACTTGCTTGATGTAAATGTAAAATTTTGTACTTGCTGTTATTGTGTGGCGGGGCAGCCTCAGCCGTTTGCTGAAGATCACCTGCGCGGGCGGCCATTCGCAGACGCAGTTCAGCGCGGCCATTCGCAGACGCAGTTCAGCGCGGCCATTCGCAGACGCAGTTCGCGGAGTCACGGTTCATGGACGGTTCACACAAGGGATTCAGCCGCTCGGCTGACGCGTTTATTCAAAGCCGCGTGGCGCTTCTGCAGCGGGACCCTTCACTAGGGCAGCCGAGGCTGACAGGAAGTACAGGTGAAGCCCTGAAGTCATGTGACCTGACAGCTTCCAAGTCACATGACCTAGGTACACTCCCTGCTGCCCTAGGGGTGTAATACTTGTCTTCTGTGTTGTTTACTGTCCTGGAGTCTAGACAGCATACGGCAGGAGGCAGGGGACACATTGGACTGGCAGCCTATCACACGCTTATACTCCCATACTATGGGAAATTCAGAGATGTCAGTTAGCGTAGCTGTATGTCTTTGGACGGTGGGAATTACCCAGAATCCCCAAAGGTTAGCTGCTGGCGGAGGCGTAGCACCAGCACAGGCAATGGTCTCGGGCCGCGAGCTGGGAGGGGGGGCGCAGCAATGGCTGATTACATAGCACATTGCAACGAAATTTCTGCTTTATTTGTGTGAAAATGAAGGATTTGTCATTAATGTCTCTTTGTTATTATTTAGACGTCACGCTAAAATAACAGTAATAAATTTTACAGGGTGAGTTGGAGGCCCCATGGAATATTTTTTTTCCTAGGGCCCCCAGAGGTCCTATAATTGCCTTTACCCACAAAACATGGGGGGAACATGTGAATGCGACACACAAAGAGCAAAGGGGAGAAGCCTGGGGTGGGGGGGACGGGGGGGGGGTTCACCTTAGCAATATGAAAATGTATGAGCGTTAATGAATTATTTTTATTTATGCACTAAATGAACTTTGGCTCATTACTGAGGCAGACGTGTGCAGTTAGAGGTCACATGTGTCTGTAGAACTCGCTCATAAATAACCGAAACCCAGAAGTTTGTGAGTAAGTGGCGGCCATGGAAGACGGATCTGCGGTGTTGTGACTCGCTGCCAGAACTCCACACTAAAGTAAAAATGTTTTGCACAAGATATTGCTCCATCATCCGTTAAGCAAAAACGTCACAATCCCATTCATTCAAGAGAGAGAGAGACCACATTTACGTAATTTTTATTAGTGTATTGTTGCAATCGTTTTATTTCATTATTAGTTATTATTGTTGATGTCTTACTGTGTATAATTTATAAATTAGACTGTATGTATGTATTTACACGAAAAAGAAACACGGTATTTGCTACTGTCCGCTGTAGGTTTCGTAACGTTTCCCTTACGTGGGGATCACTGTACTCATGATCTTAAACTGGAGCCGCTGTGTTCAGGTCGATAGCCAGAGATCCATGGGGCTTGTCTACGATACCGACCGGGGGGGTTGGGGGGTCCTCCGTAGATTTAGCACTACCTGTAGTGGTTTATCAGAGGGACTACCTGGTGTTTAGTACCAGTAGGGGTTTAGTACTATCTGACATGTTTAACAGAAACTTTTCAGGTGGAATTAAACCCCTTATTTTAATATATGGCTACATGGTTACATGCTTGGGTGTATTTTAAATAAATCGGTGTTTCTCAAAGCAATCAGGAGCTGGGAGAGAACAGAAGTGTGGAGCGTCTGGGGTCCCTGAGCGCCGGGGTGACAAACACTGACATAAACGGCCTAAGTTTGGCACAAAACTCTCCGATTTTTTCCAGTTATGAAGGTGCCGCTCCTATTATTGCCATTGATTTGGTGCCCATTGCCAGTAATTGTCCAAGATGCTGTGTCCATATATGAACTTCAGTATGATGGAATGTTTACATTTTTACTCTAAATTCTGCAGTTATTTTTCACTTTGCATTTGTAAAACCGTAAAGCATGAAGTACGTTCAATACCCAGGATGTTAACGTCCTTCTCGGATGGTGGGCTTGGAAGTAACTTCCTTTGTTTGTTCGTGCCGCACAGGCTTGTCCACACTTCAGGTGGTTCTGGACACTGCGGCAGAGAGGAAGTGGCAGGTGACGGCCATCAACGTCGGCAACCTCAAGGACGAGAAGAAGGATGAGGCCTACCGCTCGCTTTTCCAGGACCTGGAGAACAAGAAGGAGAGGAGAGTCATCTTAGACTGTGAGCAGGACAAAGTCAAAGACATCATGGAGCAGGTGAGCATGACACCGGTGATGATGTGTGCAATGCTGAACACGTCACACGTTATCCGATGTGGAATGTGACAGTCAATGTGTAGCGTTTTTGACTGAGATGTGGTTCTGTTATTCGTTAGTGTGCCAAACATGGTGTAATAAGTCCAATGATAGGTGGATAAATGCAGGGCAGTGTGTGGCTCAGTGGGCTGTGTGTCTGTAATCAGAAGGTCGCCGGTACGAACCCAGCCTCAGCACGTCTGTGGGTCCTTGAGCAAGGCCCTTAACCCCCAGCTCCCTGGTCGCCACTACAGGTGGCTGCCCTTTGCGGACAGCTTACTCTACAAAGAGTAAGGCATAAAAAAAGAATTTCCCCATGGGGATAATAAAGGATTGATTATTATTAAGTCCATTTTGCAGAATCTTCTTAATTTATATCTGTGTGTGTTCTCCATACTGTGTAGTTAAATTCATAGTGAAAGTGATTAATTGTCATTGTTGACACACCACAGCAAAACATGTCCTTTGTATTTAACCCATACTGTATGTGACAGGGCAATGGGCAAATATTATTTAGTACCTGGGGAGCAGGGTGTGGGGGTTGTACCTTGCTGGTCAGGGATTTGAACCAGCAACCTTTCAATCACCATTAGGCCTCCACTGCATCATGCTCAAATATCATTCCAAAGTTTGTCGGCAAGTTTAAGTCAGGCCAGTGTGGGCTGACATTTACGCTGAAGTTATTCAGGAGCATTATCGTCTGCTTTTCGGAATCTCCTGGTGAAAACTATTGCTGTGATTCTTTGTGAATCACAGGGATTATAAATAAATTATATTCTAACAAGATATGTGATAAATAGATTACTTTGTTTACAAGTACTGTATAAATCTGACTAATAAGTAATGTTTGTAACATATTAGATTTGTTTTAATGGGTTGAATCTCACAATTTCAACACAAAGTATTCACTTTATTTGCCCGATTGAATTACAATTGGAGACTCAGAATTAAGCGCAGAAACTTGCTATTCTTGTAAAGGTATGAGTCTGCTGAGGATGGAGGGGAATTGATTGATATTTAAATCCAGAATCACTACCTGGATCTGAGGTCCCTTATCGTCTGAAGCAAACAGACCCGTCCTGATTGGAGCCTCAATACTATGACATCGTCATTCAGATCCTACCCTGTACACGTCAACGTTAACACTGTTTATTTCAATTTTGTGAAATAGTGATTTTGTTAGTGAATTTATAGATCTCCAAAACAGGACAAAAACCTGCAAAGTCAGTTGTGGGGGGGCGTTCCTTATTACACACATTATACATCGGTCTGTGTCTCGGCGTCGCTCTGCTGTGACAGTGCAGAACGTTGCTGTATTTTACTGATCATTGCTGACAGGTTTCTCTTTCCTTCTTAGGTCATCACAATTGGCAGACATGTCAAAGGATATCACTACATCATTGCCAACTTGGTTTGTCTTTAATGTCCTTTTAAGCTGTGATTTGTGCAGTTATTATCAAACAAGTATTATTTATAATACTGCTGTATTACAAACACATTATACTTACATTATTGTCTGTAATACCCTAGAAATAGCAGTGCTGTCCGTACCACCGACACGCAGTCCTTCCCCTCACCGCAGGGCATAAATACTCCCAGCACGACTCCTTTCTCTTCGCCTCCACATTCTTATTGCTGTATTTTCCCCCTGAAGGGTTTCATTGATGGAGACTTGTCAAAAATCCAGTACGGGGGAGCCAACGTATCTGGCTTTCAGATTGTGGATTTTGACGACCCACTGGTGTCCAAATTTGACCAGCGGTGGGAGGCGTTGGAGGAGAAGGAGTACCCTGGGGCCGACAGTAAAATCCGGGTGAGATGCCCTCAGGCCCCGTCCGCCTTGCTGACTCTGCCTTCCCGGCCGATTCCTGACCGCCCCGCCTCCTTTCACGCTGCAGTACACCTCGGCCCTGACGTACGATGCCGTGCAGGTGATGACCGAAGCGTTCCGCTACCTGCACAAGCAGCGGATCGACATCACGAGACGGGGCAACAATGGCGACTGCCTGGCCAACCCAGCCGTGCCGTGGGCACAGGGCTTGGAGATAGAACGGGCCCTGAAACAGGTGACACGCTCGTTACCATGGAAACGGCACCGGTGGCTGGTGGGAGATGTAGTCTAGCTGCCTTAATGACTCTGGAGTCTGTAATCACAGCTGCGAGGCCCTGAACCAGAGCAGTTAAAAGAGTCGTCTCTTGTGGATCCGCCATGACTGTGTTTGTTCTGTCAATTAGGTTCGCGTGGAGGGTCTGACGGGGAACATACAGTTTGATCAAAATGGCAGGAGGGTCAACTATTCTGTTAATATCATGGAACTGAAAAATAGTGGTCCAGTGAAGGTAAGCTCCCCAGTATACCTAAATGAAACAAAGTGCTTTAGTTTACCTTAAGACAGAACAATGTACACCACCGCCCCCTTCGGAAATCACTCGGTAGCAGCTTACATATATATATATTAAGAGTTGGTTTACACCAAAATGCCAGCCAACAGGGAATGTTCCCAGAACGTTAGCCAATGTCATTTAAAGGTTCTCAGTTCCAACGGCAGTGGAACGTTATTTCTATGTTTTACATTTTAACAAAGGTTCTGTCAGTGTTTGTTTGGTAACATTATTACCTGAATATCTTTTTAGTATAACTCAAGTTGAAAAAAATATTTGATAAAATTGCCAGAGGTGTCTTCTGTGATCATACCGTCCAGCCTTGAGCCTGTGACCAAAGACTTATAGAGCAGCAGGTGTCTTCTGTGATCACACCATCCAGCCTTGAGCCTGTGACCAAAGACATATAGAGCAGCAGGTGTCTTCTGTGATCACACCATCCAGCCGTGAGCCTGTGACCAAAGACGTATAGAGCAGCATTGCTGATCACTGCCCTACCGTGCCGTAGTAGTCTGCTCTATCATTATTATCCTTAATTATAGTAGTGGAATAACATTCTGGGAACATCAGGAAAACTGGACACTTTGAACGTTTCTATGCATTAATTGAAACATTCAGTAAATGTTCCTAGAACAAAACTTTAATAGCTGGGATGTTGGATTCTCACTCACGCTCAGTACAAAGCAGTACAGCATAGGAAAAAATGGGGCAGTGTAGGTCAGGGGCCTGAGTTGCCATTCTGGTGATCAGAAGGTTGCTGGTTCAGATCTCTGAGTCACAGAATGATGTCATCATAGGGCCCTTGAGAAAAGGCCTTTAGCCTTTTCCAGCAGCTGTCTGGCCCTGCTTTCTCTACCAAAAACAAATCTGTTTGGATAAAAGCACATTTTAAGGGCAGGAATACACAGTACATTTATTGCTGTGGATGATTATGTGTGGCTCTGTGAAGTATTCTGTGCTAAATCAGCAGTTATTTGCAAATGTCCTAGAGTGATTTCATATTTTAATTTTTTTTTTTCAGATCGGTTATTGGACTGAGGCTGACAAAATGGCTGTGACTAATCCCGATATCTTACAAAATGAATCACTGGGAATGGAAAATAAAACCGTTATAGTGACGACAATTTTGGTAGCGGCTTCCCTCTTCATACTTTGAATGTGATTTACGGTGTTTACCTGTCTGCATGATGACTCGTCCCATGTTATTTACGACGGCCCGCGTGTTCATCAAGGTGCATTTTTTTGTTCACGTTTCGTCTCCAGGAAGCGCCGTACGTGATGCTGAAGAAGAACTCGGACCTCTTTGTGGACAACGACAGGTACGAGGGTTACTGTGTGGACCTCGCCGCTGAGATTGCAAAGCACTGTGGATTCAAGTACCAGCTGAAAATAGTCGGAGACGGAAAGTACGGAGCCAGAGATGCAGAGACCAAAATCTGGAATGGAATGGTTGGAGAACTAGTGTATGGGGTAAGGGATAAACAGGCCCACCGCTGGATGATGCGTGGGCTAGCCTGTCTCACGCATACTTACATACGGGGTGACATACATTTTGGAATGCCTGTCATGAGATATTTGCTATTATAATTTTATATTTGGATATGCAGAAAACAAGTACAAAATATATGCCTGTGCTTTGTAGATAAATATGATTTCTTGAAATTGCAAATGTATTTATTTAACGTCTCACTTTGCGAAGTGATGACAGTAAAGTGTTTCTGGAAGTTTCTGAGCACAGCTGAAAGCCACTTCCTCGAGGCCTTGGCTCACGTCACATTTGCCATTTTATTTCACTTTCAGAAAGCTGACATAGCGGTCGCACCGTTAACAATCACCTTGGTGAGAGAAGAAGTGATTGACTTTTCCAAACCGTTCATGAGTCTGGGCATCTCCATCATGATTAAGAAGCCCCAGAAATCCAAACCGGGCGTGTTCTCCTTCCTGGATCCGCTGGCGTATGAGATCTGGATGTGCATTGTCTTCGCCTACATCGGCGTCAGTGTGGTCCTGTTCTTAGTCAGTCGCTTCAGTCCGTACGAGTGGCACACGGAGGAATACGAAGATGGACAGATACAAACGAGCGAGTCCACCAACGAGTTTGGGATATTTAATAGTCTCTGGTTCTCCCTTGGCGCCTTTATGCAGCAAGGATGCGATATTTCGCCAAGGTTGGTCTGTCGCTCCGTTCGACTTTGTGCATTTGCGGTTCGGCGTGGCACCTTGGCGCGCATGCGCTTACCTCCTGAAGATCCCGCTGCTGCTTTTCAGCCACGGATGAAGCTCTTGGTTCTCTCGGGGTTTATGGTTCCTTCTTGAGACAAAGAGCAGATTCGGGATGAGAGGTATCAGAGTGGCATCGCATTTATGCCAGTCGGGTATCTCTTCTGTGAGCACGTGCGTGCCATGTGGGGGCCGTAAATGCATGAGGTTGCCCCCCCTTGCCGTCCTCTTGGAGGAGTACCGTGTTTTTGCTGCATATTACCATTACATGGTAATGTGGTGCGTTAATGTCCCCCTGGGTGCTTCCACATCCACCGTCACACAGTGAAAGTTCAAGCTTCTTTTCTCAAACCAGTACCAGTCAAAGCCCATGTGGTACAGTAGGCCAGCTTCACCGCTGTCTGAGACAAAGTGAAATCGGCTGGCTAAGTCGGCGCCCCCTCAGAAGATGGTGCCCTAGGCAGCTGCCTATGCCAGCTAATGGGTTGACCGGCACCAGTTTTGGTGCTGTCAATGAGGAGGACAGGCCTCAACACTGGGGCTCTAGCTGAGCTGCTTGGCCGTGTCCCCTGTAGCAGATCTACTGGATGTCCAAGTTGGACGTCTCTGCTGAAACAGTCACACAACAGTATTATGTCATGCTTAAAAGATAACCTGAGACCAGTGATTTGAGTAAAACACTTGTTGGGTTTGCTTAAAATATATGCACAGCTTCAATCCATATTTGTAGGATTGTTGATGTTTATTTTGCTAATTTTATGGGTGCAGATACTGTGTTTTTATTCATCAATATGTTTGTTCTCAGAAATGCGTGGTTTAACCTGAATTGATTACTTATATATTTCTGGCTAACTTTCTAACATGAATGCTCTACCTTTTAGAGATTTGTCATATTCCATTTAGTGATATATATTTTGTTTGTGCCAGCTTCCATCTTTCAGATTAATATGCTGTTCTTTCATCCTCTAGAGGTCAACACTGAAAAAACACAGAAATGTCAACATGCTACAGTAACAGCCTGAAATCATCCCATTTCTCTGTACCGATGTTGTACCCCGTTGTCTGTCCTGTAATGTGTGCTGTCCCATAATCATACAGAAGTAGTTCAGTTTCGTCACATGACCTGTGTCCAATCACATCTGTTTTTTGAGGACCTGTACTCTAGGTCATTGGTCATTCTTCCATTACTTGGTGTCAGTCGTATGACTATGTATGTATGATACTTCTGTCACACCGATTCTGGACCTTTTTTCCCAACAACTTGCTTTTCATTTGGCCGTAGATAAGAACTCAGGTTTACAAGATTAATACTTCAGTTCTGTGATATGGGAGATCCTACCTTGATTATTCAGCATTTTTTCTCCTAATCATTTTTCTATATTTTGTTAGAACAAATAGCAAATAAATGTCCTCTGCCTGTTTCTTTTGAAGTTGAAGATTGACTTGTACTGCCTGAATCCTCTAACTCTCTGGCTCTCGTTTGACTTCTGTGAATCCATTTCACACTTGTTAATAGATCCCTCTCTGGCCGCATTGTTGGTGGGGTGTGGTGGTTCTTTACCTTGATCATAATATCGTCCTACACGGCTAACTTAGCTGCCTTCCTGACCGTCGAGCGGATGGTGTCGCCCATCGAAAGTGCAGAGGACCTAGCTAAGCAAACTGAAATTGCTTATGGAACTCTGGATTCCGGCTCGACCAAAGAGTTTTTCCGGGTAAGGAGACTTTATTGTGAACATGAGGTTCTTCTTAAGAAGAATGTCAAAATCATAGGAGTTGCAAGTCTGCTAATGCTACGGCACATCCGTGTTGTATGAATGTTGCGTGTTGGCTCTGTGTCGTTTGTATGTTGTTGTTGTGCTCTTTGTTGGGTGCCTGGATCACGATCAGCGGAGATCCAAGTCAAAGAGAATGCAGATAGGAGTCCCTTGTTAAATCATAACCAATGTAAATGAACTTAAAATTGAGGAGATATACACGTCTTCCGGAGTGTTCTCTGTCCACCATGGCCAAGGCACTCAGCCTTTGATTGATCACAATGAAGCCAACAGCTTTCCAGGAAGCCTGGAAATAAATGAGGGTCCATTAGCGAAGAGAAGAAGCAGCACAAATCCAGGGACAGTCAACGTGGAATAATGAAAAACAACAAAAAAGACAAGATTATCTTATTACTGACTGGGGGGATGGGGGTGAGAGAGTAAGGGCACCAGAGGAGCTGCAGAAGCAGTGGGGATACTGCTATTAACCAGTCAGCAGCACCAGTGAGAAATGCCAGTTACGGTGGCTGAAGAAGAGTCATCTCATATACTGATTAATCCTGACCGCCGTAAGCAGCGAGAAATCGGGTGGTTGGATTAATCAGTAACACTGTGTGCTACTACAGCTACTACTTGTACTATTGCTAATAACAAAATAATAATAATAATAACAGCAATGAGAAAAGAACCTGTGTTACTGTGTTATATTCAACATTTGAAATTTTTATTATTGCACAAATCCTACCTACAGGCCTATAGACTATCTGAGGTTACGCATTACATTAACTGTACCTTTATAATGCTTGTATAATGCTTTCAAAGAACATTCAGTGCACCTTCATAATGCATAGAACATTCATAAGCAGCATGTGAGTATACCTTAACATGTCTTAAAGCATGGCATTCATAACACTTTCAAGAACAAGATAAGACAACTTTAATATACAAGATTATGATGTTTGTTAATAATGTATATTGCAGCTGTCATATCTTGTTAATTACATGCTGCTTATGAATGCATTACGAAGGAGCACTGAATGTTCTACGAATGCATTACGAAGGTGCAGTTACTGTGAAGCATTACCGAAAATGATTTGCTAAACAAACCTGAAACTCTGTGCTGAATGTATGGTTATGAGATACTATCTCTGTTATCCCTATGTAGTGTTTAGATGTAGTGTCATGGACATAGATTATGGGGGGTTGTCACCCCCCCAATAATAAAAACAAGCAAATACAACCGTTTGGACCCTCTTAAATGGGTGGAGACCTCGACCCCCCCACCAAAGCTCAACCCAAAGTTATGCCCTTGTGTAGTGTTGAAGGACAGACCCCCCACCCCACCCGAAAAAAAAAATTATTATTAGTGATTTCGACAACCTGAATATTATATGATTTATGATTAAAATATCACATGCACAAACATTTACATATAGACATAAAGACACAGAGATTTATTTTGCCCTCCTATGTTTATTCTTTAACCACCTTAGGGGGCATTTTGCATTGGGGGGGGGGACATCCTTATGTGCTGATTCATAACAGGACGTGTGACTGGAATGAAGAAGCGATTTCCAAGTGGTTCATTGTTTGTTCGTTCACATGAACTCAGTCACTACACCTATGCTGAAAGGGACTTTTTCAGCATATTCCTTGTATTTCTGTGCACTATGCAGGCTTAAAAATAAAAGTAGATCTGAGAGCAGTGGCATTTAAACCAGCATAAAATGACTACGTCAGATAAGTCCTCAGTGTTCCTCTAGAGATCATCTTCACACAACTGCTCGTTCAGATCGCGGTGTTAGATCAGGGCACCTACACCTTGGGTCAACTTTGTAAA